CACAGAATTGAAACTGAGGGAGATCATGACCAGAATTTTAGGTCAATATATAGTCTAGCTATGTTACACTAGAACCTTTCAGAATTAAGTTTGGATATCCATTGCCCTCTTCTTCTGGTGTTTCTTTAATAAAGAAAGGAAAAAAAAGTTAAAAATTCTTTTGTATACCGTTTCAAAACTCCCCGCTATCTGCTCACCTGCTGAAATCTTTCTCTGTCTCCAGCTCTTCTTCTCCATGACCAAGACGTAATAGGTGGCGTTCATCAATGTCTAAAGCCATAATTTTCTCAAACAACTGGTTCAGGGCCTGAAGAATAAAGCAAAAAGGAGGATGGTGAGTTTCAAAGAATCAGCAGGCACCTTTATACATAACAAAAACTAGCATTTAGAAGGACAGGAAAGATGAGCATCGCCCAGACAAGAATCAAACTTGAAACATAGAAGGAAACAGGTCTCACGTTAGTCCACTTATAATTTTGAAAAAATAGTATTTTTATTGTTTTCTGATATTGACATCTATGTATACTTGGCCAAATGAATAACTAAAAACCATAAAAACCACCTACTCATTAAATCTCTGCTTCTAATTAATGAAAAGAGAAAGGTATTGGCTCAGATGCTATTTCCCCTCAAGTTGTAAGAATTCCTAAAACAATCGGCAACCACACTGAGTTTCGTCTCACTCAATACCATTTCCATGGGTTGCAGAGAACTACAAAAGTTTTTACAGTTGAAGGACAGTAAGAAGGCAGTGAATATGTAGGTAAATTACATTAAGAGGACCAGAGAGGTTGGAAAGGTAAAGTGAATTATTCAAATCTTAAGCTAAAAAGTCTAATGTTCTCTATACAACACTGCACAGAGCACTCATTTATCACAAACTATTCTGATGAAAGCAATTTAGAAGTCATTCCTTTCTACCTATGAAATATTCATATTTATGGTTCCCTTAAATCTTCATAGTTGTTATCGTACACGCACACAAACACACACACAATCATTTACCTGATTGGAATGAGTAACAATTAGAGTCCTCTGCTCTGGGAAATTGTGGTAGATGTTGGATATGATCTGGACTGCCACATCAGTTTTTCCTGTACCAGGTGGGCCCACAACCTAAAAAGAAGATGAACATATAGCAAACTACTAAGTTATCACATTGTTAAAAAGTAGAAAGTCTAGAACTCTAAAATAAAATAAATTAAAAAAATTCACTGGATGGAATCAATAACAGAATGGACAGGATAGAGGAAGAATCAGTGAACTTAGAGACAGATCAGTAATTTCCCAACCCTAACAACAGGAGAAAAGATTGAAAAAAATAAACAGAGACTCATGAATTTATGGGACAACTCCAAAAGGTCTAACATTCACATCACTAAATTTCAAGAAGGAGATGAAAACAGTAGAGGATAGATAAAAATATTTGAAAAATAATGGCTGAAAATTTCCCCAATATGGCAAAAGATATAAATCTCCAGATCTGAGCTCACTGAAACCCAAACAGAATAACCACAAAAAAATCTAAGCCCAGATATACCACAATTAAATGGCTGAAAACTAAAGACAAAGAAAAAAATCTTGACAGCAATCAGAGAAAAATAATGTATTACATATACTGAAAGGATGTTTCAAGTCACTGTGGACTTCTCATCAGAAAACATGGAAGTTGAAGGAAGTAGAATAACATTTGAAAAGTGCTGGAAAAAAAAAACAAAAACAAAAAACTATCAACTCAGAATCTATGTCCAGGGAAAATATCTTTCAAGAATGAAGGTGAATTCGAGCTATTCTCACATAAGGGAAGGCAAAGATAACTCACTGCTAGCAGAACTGTTCTAAAAAGTGATAAAAAAAAAAAAAAAAAGTACTTCAGACAGAAAGGAAATGGTACCAGAGGAAACTTTGAAACATCAGGAATGAAGGAAGAGCAGTATAAATGGCAAATATCTCTGTAAGTGTAAGAGACTGCTAGCAGAACTGTTCTAAAAAGTGATAAAAAAAAAAAAAAAAAAAGTACTTCAGACAGAAAGGAAATGGTACCAGAGGAAACTTGGAACATTTAGAATAAAAGATAATTGGTAAATATAAGAGACTATCCTTTTCCTCTTGAGTTCTTTAAAATATGCTGACAGTTGAAAGTAAAAATTTTAACATCACCTGATGGTATCCTCAATGTATTTTGGTATAATATATAACACAACTACAACATAAAAGGGGAACGTAAAGGGATCTGTATGGGAGTAGGTACCCTCCATTCAGTTTGAAGTGACAATATTGAGTCTAAGTAGGCTGTGAAAAGTTAAGCATTTATATTGCAAACCCCTAGAACAATGACTAAGAAAACACTAAAAGCTATTCAAATAACCAAGTAGAAGGCAGGAAAGGGGAAACAGAAGAATATGAAAAAAAAAGTGAACAAACAGGGAAGAAAGAAAAAATGGCAGGCCTATATTCAAACATATCAATATTTATGTTAAATATAAATAGTCTAAACACACAAACTGAAAAACAGACTGTCAGAATGGATAAAACAATATCCCCCAAATACATGCTATTTATAAGAAACTCACTTCAAATATAATGATAGGCAGAAATAAAATTATGGAAAAAGAAATATTCAAATACTAATCAAAAGAAAGCTGCAGTGGCTGTATTAATATCAGACAAAGTAGACTTCAGAGCAAAAAAAAAAAAAAAAAACTGCCAATGATGGAGAGACATTACATAATAATAGAAGGGTCAATTCGCCAAGACAATATAACCCTGAAGGTGTAAGCACCCATCCACAAAGCTTCAAAATATATTAAGTGAGGGTACAGTTCAGTGATAGAGCATTTGACCACAAAATACATAAGCAAAAACTGACAGAAGGAGAAACAGACAAATTCATAATTATAGTTGAAGACTTCAATAGTCTTCCTTCAGTAATCAACAGAAATGACAGAAAATCAGCAAGGATAGGTAAGAATTGAATAATAGCATCAACCAAATGGATCTAATTGATATTTTCAGGCATTCCACCCCACAATAACAGAATACATGCTCTTTTAAGTGCACATGAAATATTCACCAGGATAGATCATATCCTGGGCCATAAAACAAATCTCAACAAACTAAAAAGGCAAAAAACAGAAAATTGAAATCATACAAAGTATGTTCTCTGACCATAACAGACTTAGACCAGAAATCAGTAACTGGAAGATAACAGGAAAATCTCCAATTACTTAGAAATTAAACACACTTCTAAATCAGTTGTCAGCAGACTTTTTCTGCAAAGAGTCAGAGAGTAAATATTTCAGGCTTTGCAGGCCATACAATCTCTGTTACAAATACTTATTTCTGCTGTTGGTAGCACAAAATTAGCCACAGGCAATACAAAATAAATAAAGCTTTAAAAAATAAGGAAAATAAAAACAAAACCAAAAAAACAAATGGCCATGGCCACGTCCTAATAAAACTTTATTTATGAATATTGAAATGAGCAGCAAGATCTCCATATGCATAAGATGCTATAATTATCTATAAGTACTTAAATTCAGCTGGGTTTTTGTGCTTCAAATAGAACACACTCTAAAATCTGTTGCTTGCTTCTAGTCTTAATCCCTGTAAGAACATGTGTAACAGTAATTCTCTTACCATAGTCAGCCCAGGCTGCATTCCAGCACGGATAGCCTCTATCTGAGTATGAGTGAACTGAATAGTATTACTGCAAATAAAAGAGTAAAAAAAAAGTGGTTAAAAATACAGTTAATGGGATTTACCACAAATTTAGACAACATTGACCAGAGGTCTAAATATTTGCCCTGTATTTGCCCCTGTCCTCTCAATCTTTTTTTTCTTTTTTTTGGTGGGGGGGTGCTAGAGTGCTGTGATGTCAGCCTAGCTCACAGCAACAACCTCAAACTCCTAGGCTCAAACAATGCTCCTCCTGCCTCAGCCTCCCAAGTAGCTGGGACTACTACAGGTATGTGCCACCATGCCCGGCTAATTTTTACTAATTTTTTTTAGTTGCCCGGCTAATTTTTTCTATTTTTAGTAGAGACGGGGTCTTGCTCTTGCTCAGGCTGGTCTCGAACTCCTGACCTCAAGTGATCCTCCCACCTCAGCTTCCCAGAGTGATAGGATTATAGGTGTGAGCCACCATGCCCAGCCTCAATCTCTTTTGAATGACTCCCTTCACTTACATCTGCCACACTGACAGGTAAAACTGAAAGAATCTTGTGGAAAGACTACAGTTATTTTTCAGTACACTTAGCCAGCCCATCCCAGACCTTATTTGGAGTGCCAGAGTTCTACTTCCCAATATAACATCAAATATAATTCCACTTTATTAGTTATGGCACACATGCACGAGGGCTACTGCTATGCATAATAACATGGAGTCATGACGTAAGAACTCTATGCTTAAATTAAGGTAGCACTCTAAAATTTATTTCTCATAGCACCTAAAAATGTTTCTTTTTGAGTATACCATGAGTATAGAATGGCCTAAAATATGATAGAATAGAAGGAGAGAGGATTCAGAAACTGAAGTTTCTTGGGGTTTTAAAAGAATCCAAAAATCTAAAAACATTACCAACCAATTTGAAATGGTAACTATTATTTGTTAAGATTAGAATAGGTAGTGAAATTACCGTTTGGGCTGATTATAAGGATAAGGACCCCTATTAGGAATAACATGAGGTTCAACAATTAAAGTTTTTGCCTCGTCAGTGCCTTCGTCTTCTCCATCTGCATCTTTCCTTTTCTTCCCTTTTCCACTTCTTACTGGAAAGGTTATCCTACAAGACCAAAACTTTTGTTAATTTTCACACAAGGATTTACTGAGTAACTATCTTGTGCATGATACTGAATGCAGGATAACCAGATGAGTAAGAAATTATTTCTGGCCTAAAGGAACTCCCTATCTGCACATAAACTCTGAAAAAAGCAAATTTACAACCACTAAAATGGGTGTTAAGGGTGTTCGGATTGGAAAAAGTCATTCAATGACGGGAGAATTTAAAGAAACATGAAATACTTATGTCACATGCATTGTAAAGTACTTTACTCATTGTCCTTCATTTCATCAGAAAAGACTTCATGAGACAGGTGGCAACTAAGATGAGTCTTGAGGAAGTCAGACATTCAAAGATGGGAAGAGAAGACATTACTGGAAAAAAGAAGCAATAGCAGAGGCCAAGTACAAGCAGCCTCATTTTGCTTGAGTGTAGGGTACAATAGACACCTTGTTATGACACCTCTGGAATATCAAGCTTTTAAGGCAGAGGTTTTTAGTCTGGAGTTAGGAGGTGACTCTCCATAGATACCTGAGGGAAACCAATGAACTCCCTAAAATTAAACAAAACATTAATTCTCTATGTGTACTTTTTCCAGTCTTCCTTCACATTCTGAAAGGATACATAATACCCAAAATGCTAAGAATCAAAGAGGCTAAGGGGTCAGCACTTACACTGGTAAGCAACAGGAGCAATCAGCTTTTTAGCTAGGGAGTAAGTGGCTCTAACAGTAGGGTGTGTAATGGATTCAAGTGAGGAAAGGGGGCAAGGAAAGGCACTGTCATAGTAACGACTGTTGAGGGCCCAGAGAGGTAGCAGTAGGAATGGCACATGAAAAACCATGCTTCAGGCAGAATCTATGAGATATAGCAGGACTTATGGGAGTAAAAAGATTCAAAAATAATACTGAGATTTCAAGATGAGGGAATTAGAAAAATGATTTTGCCATAATAGTATTAGGAAAATATGAAGAAGACCACATTTAAGTGTTATAAAGCATATGTTTTTGGGTTTTTTTTGAGACAGTGTCTTGTTCTGTTGCCCGGGCTAGAGTGCCATGGTGTCAGCCTAGCTCACAGCAACCTCAGTCTCCTGGGCTCAAGCAATCCTCCTGCCTCAGCCTCCCGAGCAGCTGGGACGAAAGGCGTGCACCACTATGCTTAAGCTGGTCTCGAACTCCTGAGCTCAAACAATTCTCCCGCCTCGGCCTCCCAGAATGCTAAGATTACAGGCGTGAGCCACTGTACCTGGCCTTATGTGTTCTAATTTCTAGCAAAGAAAGTAAGCCCTGGGCTATCATCCACAGGTATACTGATTGTTTTACCTCCAATCCATATGAAGGAATTCGGGAAATAGCAATCAATTGCTTTAGCTACTTTGTTCTATTTACACTCAAATTTTAAAAGCTGAGTTCATTGAACAATAAATATAACTATATTGTGAATATTTAAAATTTGTGAAAGCAAGCAAGGTTAAAAGAAAAAAACATTTGTTCCTAAAAACAAAAGAAAGTTCAACATCACATTGCTGTATTACTTAGGAAATATGCCAGACTACACATAGATATTTCTTTAGTCAAATTCTATAAATATATTTATACAGTTCTCTTCAGATAATAAGCGTTTACTGATCCCTTAGAGGGTATAAAGCTACTTTTGTTGTGGTCTTAGATTCAAAAATAATAAACTTATCCCAGTGATTATACAGTAAAGGCAGGGAGTACCAAAACAAAATCCATATATAATACTCAAAACTCACTTTAGCTAACACTCCTGATGGCCTAACTTTGATAGACTACAGAATGCTTGAAAAGAGTAAACTCAGTTCTGACTTTACCTGAAAGGGGGAATCTGTAGAGCTTGGTCATCCACAGTTACTTTAACATTATGACCAGGAAAGCTGGATTTTAAATGCTCAATAGAGAGAAACGTATCATTGAAATCAAGGGTAGCAATCTGATTGGGCATTTTTGAATAATGTGCACTACTTGGGTCCCCATAGCCTAAAATGATATCATGCAGCCAGTCAGGTACCACACAATCAGTATTCATCAGGTTCCGAATAGTCTCCAGCACAGCCTGTTAGTGAAAGGACAGAAAAGGATTGTGTCAATAAGACATCTCAAACATTTGCACTTCACTGGAACGCAAAGCTGGCTGCACTAATCCAGAATTCCTGAGTGTTTCAGGGCAAGAAGCTATTTTCTGCTGACAGGTGCTTGGCTAGACTGAATCAACAGCTATATTTTCAGCTGATACCACACACTGAGTTAAACAAAAGACCAAACTTAGTAAGAACAGTTTATCCTTTAAGAGTTCATTTAGACAGAATGACATTTACCACTTGACTCCTACTGAGTAGGATGAAAATCAGACTCTCATCAACAGCAATAAAATATTATAGAACAAACCCTTAAAGAAAATGCTTCCTCTTAGAAATTCCCGGAGGTTTTTCCTCTTTATATTTCACAGTTCTTCAATGCTAAAAATCACACACAACCAGAAGCACATTAATGTATACCTCAGCTATGAAACATATCACGATTTAGAAATAATAAAGTTAGTATTGTGAGAAAAAATTTAAAAAGTGAATGAAATGATAAAAATGAAGGAAATGTCAAATAAAATTTCAGAATGAAAGAATCAGGACTACAATAAAAGGTCATTATAGTAGTTAACACATACAAGGTCAAAAGTAATTACCAAAAACCAATGCAAATTCTTAGACTTTCCAAAAGTCATTTTAACAAAGTGATCTATCCTTCACAGAAATTAGGAGGCTAGGCTATTAATTTCAAAGAATAAAATAACACAACTAACCATTTTTTAATCATGAAATAATAGGATATTATGTTAATTATATCCTTGATAATACTGACTTGTTTTATATTCTTGTACTTATCATTGCCTGAAATTCTCTTGTTCAGGTACTTGGTTACTTACTTATCATTTGTTTAATCCCCACTAAAATTTCCACAAGACCAGGTATCTAGAATAGTTTAAATAAGGAATGTGTGAATGGATGGGTAGATAAATGAGTATGTTCACTTAACAGTGATGAATAAGATGAAGGCTCCACCCTTTAAGGAAATTATAATTCTAGTAGGAAGATGAAATAAGTCCTTAACTATGATACAAAGCAGCAGAATGTGGCAAATAGTGAAGAATATTACAGTAGACGAGATGAATGCAGGGGAGACTTTTACCTTTAGGAAAGGTTTCATGGAGGAAAGTGGCATTTTAATTTGGCTACAGTAAAGGATTTGTAAAGGCGCTTTGATTTATTCCATCTTGAATGGAAAGTCACAGAAATGTTTCGAGAAGCAGAGTAAAATGATCAGTGTTATAAAGTAGGAAGAAATGTATGAAAAACAGCTGGCTGACTGTGAGGAGACTAGGGTAGAAAAAGAGGAGGCTATTGCAACTGTCCAGCCAAAAAATAAAGTATCCAGATTAGGACGGGCTGTACAAACTGGACAAGGGAGAAGGCAATACAAGAGGGCTGCTGCCCAGGTACATAACAAAACACCAACGATACCAAAAGGGCATTCTTCCTTTCCCAAAAATAGGCAAGTTAATCATTCCCTCTCTTTCCTGGATCAGAGCCTGACTGCCTCCTTTGAATTTCCATGACATTTTCACCTGCATCCTTATGGCTTTTGGCACCTTCTAACCAGTGCATGGTAGTCATTTGTCTGTATTTCTAATTTCCCTCATTAGTCGTCTAAGCTCCCTAAACGTATAAACTGTGCCTGAATCATCTTTATAAGCTCCATCTTAGCAAAATATCAGCCACACAGTAGGCACTAAATAAAATGGTCAAATAAATGAACATAAGAAAGGAATTTTTTTTAGTTTTTGGTGAAGTGACTGAGATTTACTGGCTGAAAACTGACCAAATGTGAGACAGTCTTAGGTACTGTAAAACTTGGAAACTCTTAGACTTCTCCATCCTTCATTTCCTCAGTAAATATTTATCAAGGCCATGTTATATACCAGGCACAGTTCTAAGTGCTAGGGTTATGATGATAGACAAAACAAAGACCCTGTCCTCATAAACTTGCATTCCAATAAGGAATTCAGATAAATAACAAATACATAATCATATAGCTAGCTAGCTAAAGATATACAGATAGTAGGGTAGAGAATGATGAGGGCAGATGCTACTTTAGGTAAAGTTGCCAGGGAAAGCTTCTCATACAAGGTGATGTTTAAAAAGAGTTGCCCATGTCAGGTGAGGAAATGAACCATTTAAATACTTAGAGTATTTAAATACCATGTGTAGGTAGAAGGAACACCACCTGCAACGTTTTGGCTTATTAAAGAATAGCAAAAAGGTCAATGTGGCTGGCATAGAGAAAATATATGTCTTAGAAAATGATGTTGGAGAGATAGCCAGATGACAGATAATGGCATGGCCTCTTAGATTACGGTAAGAACTTTCTAATGTGATGAGAAACCATTAAAGAATGTTGAAGTTACTTGGAGAAGTGTGTGGGGCAGAGTAGACAAGAATGGAAGCAGGGGTGTGAGGTGTCTTGGATATGGCACCAGTGGAAGTGGTGAGCTAATTAGACTTACTGATGCACTGGATGTAGAGTGTGAGACAAAAAGAAATCAAGGATATCTCCTTTGTTTTTGTGTTCAACAATAGGAGGAGACGAAGAACAAGTTCTTTTGAGCAGTTTTTTTTTGTACATCACAAAGATGGGGGGAAAAAGGGCAATAAAGTGATAGGAATGTGTAAGAAGTCTTGCACTTTGGAGGATGGAGAAAAGAAAGGCATTCTGGTATTCCTTCTGCAAAAGCTAGATGTTATCAAATGCTAGAATTGTTAAATGTTTAAGTTTTATAATATAGTTTCAAATAATAGTTTTAAAAAACTGTCCTTTACTAAAACTGTTCTCCCCACAGTTATTATAAAAGCAGAACTCCATAATCCTGAAACCTCCCTTTTCCACTTATGAGTGAAGTATAAATATATTAGATCATAGAGTGATTCAGAGTCTTGAGATTTCACATCTGTGCACTTAAAGTGAACTGCAGGTACATCTACTTTTGATTTAACAAAGGAGCCCCAGTAAATAAGTAAACAAGTTTTCTTCACCTTATACTAGGGCATAACCTGAGTACCTAATATACAAAAAGCAAGGAAGGAGGCTGACGTTTAGACTAACACCTGGATTTATTTATGTTAAGTTTTTAAAGTCCTTAAAAGACAAAAAGGATTTAACAAATGAATTTCCTTAAATTTTTATATTTAATTCATGTTAAGAATTTAAGAAGATCATTCAGAATAAAAATAAAAGCAGTGACTTTTTTTTTTTAACAAATCTTTTTCTTACCCAATATGTATGTACTTATGTCTTAAAAGTTACTTAAGTTACCACATAGTACTTTTAATTACATAGCCCCCAAATTACCTTAAAGTTATTTTCCTTTGGTTTTCTCCTCATTATTATATTGAAAGTATCATACACATCTTCTGCTCCATTTTGTATAGTATTGGTCATATCTTGTTGATACTGGTTTGGATCCAAAAACACTCTAAATGTCCTTGACTCTCCTCTAAGATTGGGTCTGGGTTCAGGTCCTAGACATTTTAAATAAGTTTGTTAAATATATATTTTTCCGATATCAAAGTAAGTCAACAGTATTTCTTTTCTACAAATGATGGGTAAACTGTCCAGACTTAACTCCAACCATTCTCTCTCCTAACAAGAATGCCCTTTACTCACTCGTTTCAAATTTCAAGAAGCTGAAAGTATTTCTTCCTTTGTCTAAATTCTTACTATTTCTTCCCACACAGTCATGTAATGTCCATGATGCAGTGCTATGAATTGCAAATATTTGGTCATGCCCTCAACTAAAATAGGAGTTCTCAAAAGACAAAGAATTTATCTTTCCTTTTGTCCATTACTTATAGGTCCTACTAATGCCTTACATATAGTAAGTACTCAATAAATATTTCCTGATTGAAGAAATATATCTATTTTAGGATTTCAGGCATAGATTTCGTATTCCTTAATTTGACAGAGGTTGATCACTCTTCTCATCCTTCCGCATTCCATACCTAATATCACCAGCATGAAAGAAAATTTCACATATATAGAAATATGGGATACTAATGGCTGAAAGCCCAGAACATTTTCTTTCCCCTTGGCCTTATCTCTCCTCTTTTGGGGGTCTAAGACCCCCAACTTTGGTCCCATTATGTGGCCTTAGGCTTATCCCACCCCTCCTCCATTGCCTTCTCTTATTTTCTTTTATTCCAGAGATGAATAGCTTAATCATGAGCAGTTTAGCAATGGCACAATCTCAAATTCACAGGTGGTAGAAACTGATTCAAGTTTCGAGGGAAGTTTAGAAACCGAATTATAAAATAAACACCTAGACATGCATGCAGTTGTAATTTAATAACAAATATTACTAGGTTATTAAGTATGACATGTCTGATTGCCTTAAGAACTAAATTTGATAGCTGATATCTCTGACATTTCACTTTGACACTTCTTGTTTTATTTTTATTGTAAAGATACATCCTTAGTCTTTCAAACACATGGTTTTGCTTGTGATTATAGCTTTCGAATTTTTTTTAGAGCAGTTTTTGTAAAACCATGGATAAGTCAAAAATTCATGTTATTTTCAAATATGAGTTCCGTCATGGAACCAATGGAGCGCAAACAGCTCGAAATGTCAATGAAGTGTTTGGGAAGAATGTGGCTAATGAATGCACAATATGTCGATGGTTTGAGAATTTCTATTCTGGTGATTTTAATCTTGAAAATGAGCCACGTGGGCGACCTGAGACCAAGGTAGATAATGATGAGCTGAAAGCTGTTGTGGAAGCGAATCCATCTCAACCTACCAGTGAACTAGCAGCAAGGTTTGATGTTACTATTCCAACAATATTGGGCCACTGGAAACAAATGGACAAGGAGCTGTATATTAATAGATGGGTTCCACATGAATTAAATGAGTGTTGGAAGAGAAATCATCTCGAAGCTTACCTTTCTTTGCTGTCACTACATAAAGGTGAACTATTTCTACGTCGTATTGTTACGTGTGATAAAAAAATGGATTCTTTTTGACAATCTCAAGCATTCGGCACAATGGTTGGATAAAGATGAAGTGAAAAAACACAGTCCAAAACCGAATATCCATCAAAAAAACCTAATGGTCTGTTTGGTGGTCCAGCACTGATATTATCCACTATAGTTTCATGAAACCTGGTCAATCGATTATAGCAGATGTCTGCTGCAACCAATTGGATGAAATGATGAGGCTACTTGCGATAAAGCAACTGAGACTGGTCAATAGAGACAGGCCAATCCTCTTGCAAGACAACACTCAACCACGTTGCACAAACGACGCTGCTCAAACTACAGAGGCTGGACTTGGAAACTCTGTCATCCACTGTATTCACCAGACCTTGCACCAACTGACTACCACTTCTTCCAAGCTTTAGATCCCTCCTTGCAAAGAAAAATATTCAATTCTCAACTAGCTGTGGAAAATGTCTTTCGCAATTTCACTGCCACTCACTCTCCAGGCTTCTTTGCTGCTGGCATAAACAAGCTACCGTTAAGATAGCAAAACTCTGTTGATAGTTTAGGTGCATACTTTGATTAATTGTACTGCTTCTTGTTTAAGACATAATAAACTATACTTTCGATTCAAAAATCAGACATTTCATATTTAGTGACCTAATACAAAGGCAGTCAGGATGACGGAAGAAAAAATTTCAAAGAGATAATCAGTGAAAGCATTAGAAATCAAACAGCTGACTAACCCTGGAAAGCAGTGTTTTTAAATGGGGTAAAGCTGACATCTTAGGTAGGCCAATTCCTTCTATAAGACAGTTCTGTTTAGATGCTTAGCATCCCTGGCCCTTATACACCAAATGCCAATAGCTTGCCACTGCCCACCTCTATGCCAGTCATTTGGCAACCTAAATATCACCCATGCGTTTCCAAATGCAGGACACTTTGGTTCCCAATTGAGAACTACTGCTACAATGAATCAAAACAGTAAAAATTAAAATGGAAAAATTAGGCAAAGCTTTGAATAAAGATGATTTCAAAAGATCTTATCCTTTCCAATATCTAACAGAAATTTTGAAACCACATTACCTATTTCTAAAACTGCATGGTAAGTAACCTACACATATTTTATACAAAATCCTGTGTGAATTTAGTATGTGAAACAACTAAAAAATATTACCTAAGAAGCCAAAAGGAAAAAAGGCGAAGAAATTTTTCATTCTATACACATACTCATTTAAAAATAGAAATCACCATACCATCTTCAATGACACGCCCTTTATCATCCAGCATGCCCTGGATTTCACAGCCTCTGACATAAACCAGGCCAACCTGCTCAATAAAAGGTCTCCTCCGGTCAAACTTAGTGCCATAAGGTTTTGTGGGGCGCACAGTAATTAAAAAGCATACATCATGCTTACGAAGACCTGGTAAAACATAAAGACATTTTCATTTATGAGAATTTCATTGTTTTCATTCTTTTGTTGGCAAATTCTCAACATCTTATCTTTGGAAGAGAGATATAAAATATATTTAAAACATCATGGGTGACCAGTGATTATTATTGTACCATAACACAATTATGGGTTTTCCTATAATCTTTAATACTCAATAGTGGATAGTAATAATTAAAATGAAATCATTATATTAAAATTACAAATTTTCATGCCTTGAATAAGCCCTCCAAGTCATGCTACAGCTCCAAAATTGGACACTCATCATCATTCTTATTTTTAACATTCTTAATAAGTAACCAAAAATATGATTGGCCTATAATCCATCTATATCACATTTAGCAGGTTTCTAACATCAGTTTAAACTATCTATCAGTGTCATTCTACTGACAGCCTAATGCTATTTCACTAAAACAGATCAACTCAAGAATAATTTATCAAGGCACAAAAGTACTGTTTACAGAAAATATCTTGAGAAGGATAGTTGAATATATATAGTTTCAGTTGGCAAACAGTGAAAAATTTTTAAAAGTGAATGCCAAGAAACAGGAGACTTATGCCAAGTCCATAGCTTCTCAATCATTAGACCAAATAATGGACTCAAATGGCTTCCCAGTTCTATTAAAAGTATAGGTACTAGAAGACAAGGGACATAAAATTAGACCTCATAGCGTGTAACATCATACCATTTAATCTTCCTTTCTTTTCTGATCTGTTTTTATTAGATAATAAATGACATAAATGTAAATGCAACAATTTGTTTGCTCATAACCTTGGTAACAAGGTAAAACTAAATCAAATCAGCAATGTGAGTGTGTGGATAATACTGAAACCATTTTGTTTTAATTTGAAGTGGTTTTAGGGTGTGGGTAAGGTAGAAGTGATAACTCTGATTCCTAACATTGACTTTATTATTTTCCAATACATTCTATGCAAAGCAGGAGAAGCAATGAAAACTAAAGGGAACTATTCCACTAGCTGAGTTGTACTGCTTGCATGACGTCCGATTTGCACAACTCATTAAAACTCCTAAGTCTTAAAACCAAAGAAGTGGCGATGAGAAGTCATTTAGTCCCTACCAATGTAGGAGTCATTTTTTGGCATCACTGAGGGATGACCTCTTGTTCCTTCCTAAAGCAGATTATTTTACTGTGGGACATCTTAGATTTACATTTTAAAAAATCTATAGTATAATGAGCTCAACTATCTCTATCTCCTTCTAATCATTTGGTATCCACCCTATCCCAGCTGTACTTTTTGGTGCAGAATCCTGCATTTCAGTTTCATTAATTCCATTTCCTTAATTTTAAATTAGGGTATTGGAGAAGATTGAAGGGATAAGAGGAATGTCTTATAGCTGCAGTTCCCAACCCCCGGCCATGGCCCGGTACCGGTCTGTGGCCTGTTAGGAAATTGGCCAAGCATCACTGTCTGAACTCTGCACCGCCTCCACCCCCGGTCCATGGAAAAATTGCCTGTCTTCCATGAAACCAGTCCCTGGTGTCGAAAAGCTTGGAGACCACTGTTTTATAACATTTAGTTTAAAAATCTTCAAAACTGTCCTCTGTTTTTATAAAACATTCATTACTGTTTACAGACTTATCTTTCATTTTTTGCTCTCATTTTCCATTTGGTTACCCTATATGTGATCAATATAGGGGCTGACTTTGGCCCTGATCTCTATGAAAACACTTTTCTCCCCATTATACCCTGTATTATGAATCACTTGTCCCATAAAACTCTATCGTTCCTTGTGTTGCCCATCAAAATTTAACCATTCTGGTTCTCACTCTACCAGAGATTGATGATTAAAAGGAAGAATACAAAAAGACTGTCTCATGTTCTTCTGAGAACAGTCAGTAAAGGGGCAAATGGGATGTTTGGGTAAAACACTCTTTTGTTTTCCTTAACTCCAAAATGCAGATCTGTCATCTATAAAGGGTCCTTTTTTTTTTTTTTTAAATTTCCAACTGTTACTACTTCTGGGGGTACCCAATAAGTTATTTCAGTTTATTACTTTGCTATGCAAAACACTATTGTGTTTCTCAAGGTGCACATTATTCTAGATGTGTAATGCACCAGACTGGAACTCTTTTGAAGAATGCAGGAGTCACAAAAACAATCTGTCCCAAACTATACCCATTACACAGTAGTGATCTGTTAAACATTTGGCCTGCTTCATTGGATTGTTCAGAATTCTTTGATAACTATATCATATAGTTCCTATAGTTATAAACAGCTATATGGGGAGCAAAAATTTCTGAAAACTGATCCATTAAGGTACTGTCGCTTTCCTTCTGGCATGCCAAGAAGGTAGAAGGAGATGAAATCCACCGGCTACTGTTTCTCAAAATAGGGCACCAAGTAAGACCTTTCAGACAGCTGGGAGAAAAGTATAAAAGTGACAATTAAAAATCAGTGCATATGCTACTTTTGGCACAGGTGTTATTGATGTTATTGATGCTGTATGTGAAAGTCTATAAAAAGCCAACAGGTAGCTTCATTTTTGAAATACGAAACTACCTTCCCATTCATCTTTGATGTGATCTCTGACGTTCAGATTGATGGTAACATCTGCACGAACTCGAGTTGGCCAGTTTTCACCTATGTTGGGTTTGGCAACTTCAACTACAGTAAAAGCCACAATGGGCTGGGCCATTCGTGCCCAACCTCCAAACACTACACCGCCATATTCGGATTGCCTGAAAACCAAAGACATAGATGATTAGTCAAACAAAAAAATAACTTTCCCCCAACTTTTAAACCAGTAAAACTAGTAAGATATTCATACATTGTGAAATCATTACCAGAATCAACCTAATTAACATATCCGTCACCACACATAGTTACCATTTTTTTGTGTGTGGTGAAAATGCTTAATATCTACTATCCTGACAAATTTCAAGTACATAATACATTAACTATAGTTACTACGCTGTACATTAGGTCCCCAGAACTTATGCACCTTATAACTGAAAGTCTATACCCCTTCCAACATCTCCCCATTTCTCCTACCCTCAATCCCTAATAACACCCTTCTACTCCGTTCCTGAGTTCAACTTTTTTAGATTCCGTATGTAAAGTGAGAGCATCAGTATTTATCTTTCTGTATCTGGCTAATTTCATTTAGAATAACGTACTCCAGGTTTATCCATGTTGTCAAAAAGGGCGGGACTTCCTTCATTTTAAATGCTGAATAATGTTCCATTGTGTGTATATAGATACACCACATTCTCGCTATCCCATTTATCCCTCCATGGACAGTTCAGTTGTTTCCATATCTTGGTTATTGTGAATAATGCTGCAATGAACATGAGCAGACAGGTATCTCTTTGGGACAGTGATTTTACTTCCTTTGGATAAATAAATACGCAGAAGTGGGACTGCTGGATCATACGGCAGTTCTATTCTTAATTTTTTGAGGAACCTCCACACTATTTCCATAATGAGTATACTAATTTACATTCCCACCAACAGGATTCCCTTTTCTCCATATCCTTGCCAACTTTTGTTACTTCTGACTTTTTGATAATAGCCATTCCAATAGTGTGAACTGATATATCATTGTAGCTTGGATTTGCATTCCCCAATGATTACTGATGTTGAATTCCTTTTCATCTACCTGTTTGTCATTTATATGTCTTCTTTGAAAAAATGTTTTTCAAGGTCCCTTGCCCATTTTTAATTTGGCTATTTGGTTTTTTGCTATTGGGTTATATTATTCAGTTTCATTTTGAGGATATATACATATACACACACACACACACACACACACACACACACATATTGATATATATATATATACACACACACATACAAATAAAAAATATCCTTATCAGATATATGGTTTGCAAATATTTTCTCCCATTCCATACAGTTGCTTTTTCATTTTGTTGATTGTTTCATTTGCTGTGCAGAAGCTTTTTGGTTGATGTAGTCCCTACTTGGCTTTTTTTGCTTTTGTTGCCTATGCTTTTGGTGTCATATCCAAAAAATCACTGCCAAGACCAATTTCATGGAGCTTTTCTCCTATGCTTTCTTCCAGGAGTTTCACAGGTTCAGGTCTTATGTTAAGTCTTTAATCTATTTGTAGTTGATTTTTGTGTAAGGTGTAAGACAGAGATCCAATTTCACTTTTTTGCATGCAGATATCCAGTTTTTCCAACACCATTTATTGAAGTGACTTTCCTCTCCCCATTGTGTATTCTTGGCACATGCATCAAAGATTAGTTGAGCAGACATGTGTGGGTTTATTTCTGGGCTTTCTATTTCCTTCCATTGGTCTGTCTGTTTTTATGCCAGTACCACACTGTTTTGATTATTATAGCTTTGTAAAACAATTTGAAATCTGGAAGCATGATGTCCCCAGCTTTGTTCTTTTTGATCAAGATTGCTCTAGCTATCCAGGGTCTTTTCATGTTACTAATTAGCATCCTTTCATTTCAGTCTGAAGAACTCTCCTTAGTATTTCTTCTTCTTCTGCTGCTTCTTCTTTTTTGAGACAGGGTCTCAATATGTTGCCTGGGCTACAGTGCAGTGGTGTCATCATAGTTCACTACAACCTTAAACTCCTGGGCTCAAGTAATCCTCCCACTTCTAGTAGCTAGGGCTTCAGG